TTTTTTTTTTTTTTTTTTTTTTTGATGCGAAGGCTGTTCACAGTCGCGGAATGAATGTATATAAATTATAACAGGAAACATGAAGGATGCCTTATGCTCGCAACACATAACCTGAACAGCATAAGAAGGTGCGTATATAAACGCGTAAAAATAACAAGAAAAAAAATAAACGAAAGGAAAAAGAATGAAGCCAGCAAGTCGCAGTGAGCGAAAGTCCCAGTGTTATCTGCTGCCTTCTCAGATGCATTAATAACGGTGACAGCATACAGTGAGCATTAAGCCTCAGCACTTCCCACGGTTGGGTGCAGATTCCCAATGGAAGATTCCATCGTGGACAGAAGTAAGAAAAGAATAGTTATGCTGCTGAGGTAACCCTTTTTGCTATTTGGCGTACCGAACAGTGCAAAGAGACAGCGGGCGATCACAGCAGAAACGGCAGGCAGAGCAAGCAAAACGAGCTGTACGCTTATCTTGACTGCCCTGGCCTGCTCCCCCTTGCCCCCTTTTCCCCTTGCCTCCCCCCTTCTCCCCCGCTCTCTTCTCCGCTCAAACAACAATCGGGACAGTTTTGGCCATTGGTGATAGCAATTGGAACGCGGTACTTGTTGGTTTATCAGAGTTTTCTGAAGCAGAAACCGCTTGGCAACTACTCTGCCATTCAGTAAACGTTTTGCCGGTTTACAACTATCCTGAATCAGCGTGGTTATTAGTGCATTTCGTCATGAAACAATTTAGTTGTTTCTGTCTGTTTATTTTTTCATCATTTCCTTTTTCATACTTTTATTTTTTTAGTTTTTTTATTTTATTTTTTTCGTGAATGACTTCCCTTTCTGTTGCAAATAATATTAATATTATTATCCTTGTTATTTCTCAATTAAATAGCTCTAATGTTAAGTGTTGTTCAGGGATTGTTGTTGGTATTATTGTTTGTTTATTATTATTATTTATTATTTATTATTACTATTATTATTATTTTTATTGTTAATGTTATTATTATAATTAAAGAAACCAAGTGATGGGCTTTCTTATTTGCTTATAAATGGTGTACCTACTGTGTTGATAAAAGTAAGAGGATTATGTATAACAGTATGCTTGGTTGACCAAAAATGTAACAAGCGTAGTTTTCCTGAAGACGGAAATATTGCTCCTGTTTAGGAAAGTTAATTTATAAAACTGTAAATATAAATATTTGTTGATATATTGTATGTGTTTGGTGACCATCATTGTTTCTTTTCTTTCAGTATCTTTTCAGTGCAGCCCATTTAACTGTGTATGTCAGTGTATGGTATGAAAAATTAAGCTTTTTGATCTGTATAAATATTTCGTTTTCAAAATCGCATACTCAGGAGGGGATCTTTTTATTTTTGTATTATAGTTTGTCGGTGTTAAAGAAACTTTTGTGTCACTTGTTTAATGGACCTGATGACCGATGGTTTCGTAGATGACCCATTTCAAGTCTTAGAAGATTTGGATTCCAATGGTCCGGTTCAATTTTAACTGTTGGCTTCCTTATTACCAATATTGGTAACTTGAAAAAAAATTTTAATTCTAATATGTTAATGGTGATTTGTATGTTGGATATTTGTTTCATTGACATTTAGATTTTAAGGGTCGAAAACAAGGGGTTTGTTTTTACAGTATATGTAACTTGTTTGGTAGTCTTTTACTCTTTGCATACAGCTTTCAGTATTTTCAGACTTCCCAGATTTCTTGAACCAAAACTCAGAATTAGCTGATCCTTCTTTGACGCTGTGGTCTAGCGAAATTTTGAACCAATGTCCAGATGATTCCCCAACCGGTCAGGCTAGTTCTGGACATAGCCAAAATAATCGCAGTTCTTCGCATTGTACCCAAACGTAAGATTATTGTTTTGCAAAAATTCCAAACAACAACTGTTATTCCGGTTCTATTTTTCTAGAGTGCAATGTTAAAAATTGTTGAGTAAATCTGGATCATAAGCTTTTTGTAACTTTTTCCATATCTTTAAGCTTTTCTTTTTATTTTTTTTAAGAACAGGATTTTTTATTATTAGGTTTTATGGAGAAGATTGAGTAACGCGATCTTCACCTGGGTAGCGATTTTAATTTGGTTGTTAGTTATCTTCTTCAGCTTATTACCTTCGAGATGTTCGTTTATTTTCGACATTAAATTAATTATTGGTTCTTTGTTTAGGTTTTCCCAAGTATCAAAATTTCAAAGCGACGGTGTTCTCATTGACTGCAAAAATTTCTCTAATGTATAGCGGTTAATTATTACTGTTACTGGGCTTTGTTCCTTAAATTTTTGTTATGCGCCTCATACTCACTGTGAAGTAAAAAATGCTCACTTGATTTATAAATCAATTTTTTTAGTCAGGGTGTTTCGGGTCACTTTCACCTACATGCAGTTATTACAATTACAAACCTGACAGCTGTTTCAGTTATGGTTCTCCTCATCAACCAAACAATAGCACACACGTGGTATATTACTTGAAGATCACCACTTTGATGTGCCCTCATGTTTAACTTTACTTCTTATAATTGTGTTTGGGTTTCTTACGAGTTGTTAGTGAGCAGCTTGTGTTTTAGTTTTACGAGGATTGCAGTAAAGTAGCAAACGGTGCCCCTGACTCAATCACGTTAACTTCACCGGTTATGGATGTAAGTGATGAAGGTTATGTAAGCAAAGTAGAGAAGAGACCACTAATCGAAGAGTTAGAATCCTATAAAGTTCGATTTCTCCTACTATTTTTTTGAAT